TCAAGATCATCTTCATTAAGGCTGTTAAGGTATTCTTCAAGTTGGCGACGATTAACGGAGCGGTATTCAACATCACCTCTGCCTTCAATGGCACGATTGATTGTATCAGCAATTTTACGACCAGATAAAAGTTCAGGACCGGTCAAGCAATAGACCTTGCCTCGATGTTTTTTGCTGAGTTCGATTACCCCCTTATGCTCTTGAAACATTAAGCATGCGATCGCGCAAATAATGTCATCAAGATTAACAGGAGCCCATTCGTTACTTTCACAAGGAGTCATATTGATTTCTCCTTTGTTTTCAATATTTGGAGACCAAAGGAAGAACTATGTAAAAAAAAAAAAAATTATTAGCACGCAGACATAAAATAGACATTATTTTTATTTTTTATTTTTATTTGTTTTTTTTTTTAAAAAAATAAATAATATTATATTTACAGCTTGTTGAAGGAAAGAATTTCTAGAAACGAAAAAGAATGATTAGAACAATCAGATAAAACGGAATAATAATAATGATGGATTATAAATTATATTTACCTGAGCACACAAGCATTCTTAATTCTCTGGCACACATCCTTTTCAATTTCTCTAAAATCATTCATAATTTTACCATCACCATCTTCTGCACCTTCCAACGATAAGATAATCGCGTTACAAACGTCCCTATCAGCAGCAGCCTAAATAAATAATATAATTTGGTATCGGTTAAAAAAAAAAAAAATTTCAAAAAAGATTTTCATTAACATACATCAGCCAAGATTTTAGCTTCTTTAACACGGTTTTTACCAGATTCACTACTGAAAATCAAGAAATCAACACCGTGTAAAGCGTCTCTAATTTGTTCAGGACGATCATAATCGATCTTATGAATTTCACCACCTATACATTCAAGTTTCCTGACGTGTTTATTGGTTTCTTGAGCCAAGCAACGGATCGTGACCACGCTACGCTTGCTTTCCAAAAGAAGACTCCTAGCGATAACATTACCAAACCAACAATCAGTTGCAGAAACAGCGATTTTATATTGATGGCGGGTAGATTCGTTGCCAAGATTTAGATTATTCATGATGGATGATTTTAAAGAAGATTGAATAGAAAATAGAAAAGATATTATACAATTTTTTACAACTGTTGTTGCAATTGTGTGAAAAAACGAAGGAAGAAAGCCAACGTATTTATATCATGGTGTGCAGGGAAAGAAGCATAAAACGATAAAAGAAAAAAGTTTAATTTTTTTTTTTTCTTTGAAATTTAAATCAGTTAAGTGATCATTTTAATAATTAAGAATGGCTAAAAACGTTTTTTTCAAAATGCGAGATTTAGTGATAGAAGCCATAGCTCCTGTAAACTTAAATTGTTAAACTTATTCGGGACAGTGATTTGCCCCAAGAAGGAAAAAGTTCATGAGAAAAGTTCACACGAACCTTTAAAGAATATCATACTTTTAACAAATAGAAAATTATATTCTTTTGCAGTAACTTGGGAAAATTGAAATAGACTAAATTTGTTTAAGAATTAGTATGGTCATTATTCTCAAAGTAACTTGATCGAACTTGATCGAACCACTGCATTATCTTATAATAGATAAGATGATAAATAAGCATATCTATAAACTATATAAATCTAGATAAGGTTAATTTGAATCTAAACGTAAGTACATGCATACGTACGTATGTAACTTATCGTTACATTGTAAGTTACAAATAAAGATACTAAAGACTAAGACTAATTTAAAATTGAAACTAAAGCAAATCAGCTTTAAGATAGTGTAAATGTGTAGTAACATCGTCAGTTAAAATAGCTTATGTAAGTGAACTCTGAACAGGGAACACAGAATTTATGTGATAAGAACTTGTAAATTATGCGTAAAAATATGCTGATTGAAAACTCGATTTAATGTTTTTTACTTAAGTAAAAAAAAATTTTATCTCGTAAAAAAAAGAATTTTTAAATGCTGCGCTCAACTAATAAAATACCGATCAATTTACGATTATTCATCATAATAATTAAAAACACTTTTTTATAAAAGCGTATCAGAGTAATAATGTATATTAGATATTGAAAAAAAAACAATTATTGACAAAATCTACACATGGTTTGTATAAAAATACCTTTAAATTTAAGCGCTCTACTCATTTTAATTCTTTTTGGGCCAATATCAAAAAATAATAAATTTTTTTCTTAAAACAAATAAAATTTACTAGTATAAATTGATTTATTTCGCACTTTAACATAATATCAGCTCGTTCGGCTCTATTATTAATCGGTTTTTTATAATAGTCAAGCTGATAACGTTTTTATTGAGAATATACATGTGAAATTATATAATATAAATGATGTAATTGTGCGATTTAGTTTAATCACATTTATCACATAGTTTCCGTGTCCCCGACTCTGGATTGTATTTTGATCACGTAAATATTTGTTAACTGGTTTTTTTTTTCTTCTAATAAAATTATCGTACGTCACGAGTGTCCTGTATATTTTCACCAATCATCTCGGTCATGTGAAAGCAGAATTATGCCGAATTATGGAATGGTCATGTGATTTGAGAAATATCGATATGATACTTGTTTTCTTGTTTTAACATGTGTTAAAATTGTATG